ATTAAAATTTGTATAGTTACAGTAATTTACAGCAATTTTATTATAATCAAAATTTAACCGTATAATTATTACCAGCCACAATAGGTACTTATATGATGAGTAGTAAAAGTGCTTTGGCCTATAACTAAATTGTAGGTAATTCGATTTCGCTTATAAAAATTTTTAGCGTTATTTATCTGTCAATCAAACACAATTCATTTTTTTGCTCGGGTCACTTCTGCAATATTATGAATGCTGGAACGGTAATTTTTAGGAAATGAGTAGAAGGCGCATTACAACGGATCGAATCTATCTTATAAACGAAATAAAATATAGCTAATAGATAAATGTCTTATTTTGTCATCGGCAGGAGACAAGCAAAGGTACCGCAGTCCACCACCTTTTACATCATTGAATTGTCTAGTTTTTCTAAGGCAGTTTAGTTATAAATATTATGTTATATCAAAAACGGCATAGGTACTGTTTTTTCCTCCACAACAACTCTATAGATCATTGTACTCGATATTTATTTCTTTTACTTTAAATGGAAGTGGTATGAAAGATCATATGTCCAAGTATGTATATCATTCATCATATAAGTATCAATTAACATTTTTAATGTAATGCGAATGAAATACCTAGCAGAGAAATACCGTTTTGCAAATTGAATAGTAATATCTCACTTGCCCTTTTTAGATACATCATAATATGAAATATGTATGTACTAATTGGGCGTTTGAATGACTACAGAGTTGCAGTTTGGAGCTCCCAATTCGAAGAAAATTTCCATAAAATAATTAATACATCAAAAATATACAACTGTGGACGACATTAAAAGACGTTATTAGATATTGTTTTGTTTTACGATTTTTTCAATTTTTCAATTAGATCAAGTTAGTTTCAGTTTGTCAAATGGATACCTACTTCACGTCATGATTATTGCTGTTCCTTTGGTAATAAACTTACTAATTACGCTCTTTTACTAAAAATTAATTAGTCGCTGCCAAAAATCTAGAATAGCTCTTTCTAATTTACCACAATTAGAGAGATTAAAAGGACGTGAGAACTGGGATCTCTGAAAGTTTGCTGTGCAGGCATACTACATTACTACCCGATGGAGGATCTGTGGAATGCTGTTGAAGGTAAGGAGGAAGATGAAAAGAAACTTGTTTGAGCTAGATCCGAACTGATTTCATTGCTTACTCCCTCATTACTTGTCTATCATATTCGTCAAGCGAAAAATGCCAAGAAAATATGCGATTTGAAGATTCTGGAGGATTAACTAGGAAAGTTGATCTCATACGGAAGCTTATATCAATAAAGCTTGAGAATTGCTCATCGATGGAGGAATCGGAACATCCTCGAAGTAACTACAAGTGAGCTAAGCAGTGTCTGGTCTTCTAGATAAGTATCAACCAATGATTATGGGCATGGAGAGTTCAGGTATAGAAATAAGCAAATAACCGGAGACTATGCCAAGACGAAGTTACTTTAGGATGTACAAGTGAACTTCAGTGAAAATCAAGCAGCTGCATTTGTTGGGAAACCAAGGTCTAGTGATTTCAAGAAAACTGTGAAGTGTTATAGATGTCATGAATTCGAACATGTCAAGTCGAATTGTCTTAAGAGGAAGCTGGGCAAGAAGAAAACTGACGGCAAGAAAATGATTTGTGCTATTCAAGAATGTTCAGAAATGTTCCAGTTTTGAAATTTTGGTAGCAACTAACTCTACAACGATTGGACAATTTGTTGGAAATGCCAATTTGGACGTCAATAATACGAACGAAACAGGCAAGGATGCAGAGTTGTTAATCAGAACGATGAAGTGATTGCAAGTAATGCTGGAAATTTGTTGGAAGTTGAATAAACCGAATGAAATATCATAAGTATCAATGGAGAAATCTTGGCTGGTCTTTGGCACCAGCGTTTGGACCATCCTTGTCACCACAATCTGAAGAAGGTTGAACATCTTGTTCAGGGAATCGATCATGCTACTTTAAATACTTCTGAGTGCACTGTATGTTTATTGGGTAAAATTTTGGTTCAAGATCTACCTGTATTTGAACTTGTTCACTCTGATGTTGGCGGTCCCATGGAGCAAATTTCATGGAACGCTTCAAGGTATTTGCTTATGATTGTTGACGACTCCTCCAGAAAAGTGTTGGGGTATTTCTTGAAATGCAAAAGTTGGGTTCCAAACCAAATTGAACCCTTCACGACTGTGACAGAAAAACAAACGGGTTAAAAAATGAAAATTCTACTGACAGTGGTTGGGAGTTTTGTAACAGCAAAGTAGCTGAAATCAGTGATTCCAGTAGCATTATTCATCAAAAGTCTGCACTATATATTCCTGAGCAGAATGGCTTGGTAGAAATGGTGAACAGGACCTAGAGAAAGTAAGATACACGCTGATTCATTCCAATCTTGGGAAGAAGTATTGGGTCGAAGCTGTGAATTCTGCGTTGTATGTGGTGAATGGGATTGAAAAGAAAAATGCCTGAAGAAGTTTGGTGGGGGCGGAAACAAAACGTGAAACATTTGAAAGTTTTTGCTGACGTTAACTCTACCTTAATCATACAGCGTTTAAAACTACCCCTTGAGTCGTCCTGGAACTGTATCACTCTCTGTTGAAGATTCGTGGAATGCAACTAAAAATTTCTGACGTTAAATCCTGGCTCGTAGCAGGGAGGCTTTACTATTTGCAAAATCCCAAGGCATGCTCGATGTTGCCTAATCGAAATCTTAATTGAATAAGTCCTTTTTATTGTAGAAAGGGATGTCGGATGTCGGATTATCCATAAGAAATATTTGGGTCGAAACGGTCTTCAGAATCTTCTAAAAATGTTTTGGAATTTTCTGAAAAATCGTCATCTATGTACGAATTTTTTTAGAAATCGTCTTCACAATTTTCTTAGAAAAACTTCGTAGTTTTCTTAGGAAGAAGAACTGATTGTATATTGCTTTGTACAATGGCATGAGGTCACTACAACGTAACACCGCATAATTGTCAACGTGATCATCTTACATGATATACTAGAGACATCCTTGAAATAATTCTAGAAACCCTGGAGAATTAAAAAATTTCTTAGAGATCTTTTTACAAACCCAGCAGATATTTTCCTAGAAATAGAAAAAATCTTAATTTGTTTGGAATCATCTTTTGAATGATATCTTCAAGGATCATTTTGGGTATATTTTTAGGAATTGTTTTAAAGGTATGAAATAAATACTCCAGCAAAGACTCTTCTTGGAAACAGTTAGGGAATCTTTGAAATCATAGAAATTTCGATTGAAGCCTTTTAGCGCATTTTGCAACTTATGTTGGAAGGCGCTTTTATGGTCACTTTCTCCGTCCGTCCGTCCGAGGCCTTAACTACTCCTACGGTTTTCAACGTATTTAGTTCGTTCTTTTTGCACTCGATAGCTATAATAGCCTCCGTACCTCAACTAAGAAAAATCTTGACGATTGAACTTCTTATTTATGGAATTTTAACCACAGATGCCTCTAGTAAAGACAAACATATCGCATTTTGTAAAACTGCGCAATCCTAAGTTTTTTATTTATAAGAATATTTATGCAATAACTTATTTTCCTTTGTACACATAAGTAGTCCGTTGTATGACCTTTCTGGAAGTACTGATCAATTCATGTAAAATGCGCTAAAGTTAACCTTTTTTCATTTTTACAAATATTAATTAGTGTTATTTCTGTTTCGAAATAAATAGGACTGATATAGAGTCAAAATATATTTTATATTTTCAACGACCCATTGTAATGTCACCTAAAACTTTTCCGCAAATCCTTTAAAGAACCTTCCAAGAGTTTTTTTTAAAGATCTTCAAATTTTTTGGGATTTTATCGTATCTTACTACCCATTTAAGATGTGATGTGAAAAATGTCAAAACTAGCTGTTTTAAATATTTTTACGACCGAGTAAAAACCGCTGGCGAAGTTAAAAGAACGAAAAATATGATATAATTATACAGGTTGTAATACATCAATGTAATTAGGAAAAAGCGTGCAAAAAATTGAGTAAATATACAAAGGGTTGCATTTAAAAAAATACAAACTTATGGGACAACTCTCAGAAACGGTAGTTCAAACATTTTTTTGACTACGCCATTGGATTCTACGTAAAAATATCTAACGTACACAGTTTTTATCTTTTTTCTTATCTTACATGGGCAATAAGATATGATAACACCTCAAAAAGTCAAACTTTTCGTTTTGACCCTGTATCTTAGAAACAAACGTAGCTAGATTGATTTTGTTTTTAGTATTAAAAGTTTCACAAAAACTCAAAATTTCTTTCTCCAAGATGACAGAACTATAAGGTTAGGTATACCAAGTGGCACTTGCCGCAGCCGGGTTTCGCAATGTTCTAGTGTAATTTAGTGTAAAGGTCTTGATATGAAATGCTCAGAATATTAACTGGGACTGAGCAGATTATTTATACACACACAATAGCTAGGGATCTAGAGTAGAGCCATGCGGGACACCTTTATTGTACGCAATGAAATGATCTAAATTGATACTGTTTCCTATTCAGTTGCAGTTTCACGAACGAAATCGTACCATAATTTTCTGTCAGGGTGTCTTTGTAAGTTGCACGAAAAACGTTACTAAAGCTGTCAGGATTTTAATCTTGGATGAACAACCATACAAACAGAGGAGTGTTGATTAGTTTATCTTTATCAAATTTGTACATATTTTTAACGAAGACCCAGGAACGGGAGCAGGGAGCGCAGAAAAAGACCCATATGGGACTAAGAAAGGCATTCGTTTTCTACAATTTAGAACGAAATCGGTGGTATTTTTGTAAATCCTTTTCGTACCTATCTATCCGACGTATTGTAATTAACCATGCGGCTTGCATGCATTACTATTCATCTACTGACAATCTCAAAAGACGTTCCAGAAGGGTGACTGGCTCCCTTTTATAAAACGAAGTAATTACAAGTATACTAATTGAAAGTTTATGATTATAGTCAATTATACTAACAAAGATTTTCTTTTACAGAATGCGTTCTGGCTCCATTTGTTAGCGCTTCAACGTCACAGAAGATACCTTTTGTTTTTCTACCATTAAAAGGACAAATCATTCATCCGAGCAAGGAAATAAATTTTACAGGTAAGTAACAATGCTCGCTCATAGACACACTATTGCTCGCTTTAACAATTTCAAATCATGCACGTGTTCGTACACAAATTAAACAATACGCGATGACGTTTCTTGAATTTTGCAGTAGACATCTGCCTCCGAGAGGACGTTGCCTTCTCATCTTTTTATAATTAATTCAAATCTAATTACGCATATGTTACGATATAACTGTAAGATTTATCATTAAAGAAAAGTGAATTCAGTTACCGTGAATGCTTTTGAAGCGAATTCTGTTTGGGCAATTATAAAACTACATCGTTGATTATAATATTTTATGTGTAGGTAAACACCGCAACGTGGAACGGTATAAGACCCTGTTGATTGTTAACATCCTCATTTAGTCTTCACTTCCAAATTAATACCAATAGAGTCGTTTGGCTTTAATCAGCTTACGGATTGTATCGATTAAATTAAGAATTAAGATACCTATTTCTGCAGATGAATGGCAATATCACCGTTTACATACAACTTACTAGCCTGTGGTAACCTCCCCTTCGTTTTTCTTGTATCGTTCCATACGACTTAGAATGATAAGGAAAGTAATTATGTGCAACGAAATCCAAATTACACCCTTCTTCGAAATTATTTCAGATACCTATCATCAAATTAATTTGGGAAAAACACTACTACAGGATCCCACATAAGGTTTACCTTGGCTCACCGGTTTACCGAGGGGAATACATTTATCAGCAATCTTAATGTGTAAACAAACACATTGCAAATGGGTTGCCTAAAAAAATTAAGTCAAGACTACCCTTAATTAAAATTAATATTTCTGGCTGCTTCTATCACATGGAGAGAGCGCATGCGCACTTTCTTACATCGATGAACTGGCCTACTGTCTTTTGTATTTTAGTTACGGGCAAAGTTGCATGTTTAGATTCTTAGATAAAGGCTTCTTTGTTTATTAAGTTATCGAAAACGTGTTTACATGTTCCTAAAGCACTTTTTTGAGAAGAATTGAATGGCTATGAAAATTGTCAATTATTCATTTTCAGCACAAAGTTGTATTTTAGCGTAACACAGCGACGTTGAGCTAACGCTTATGTGCTCCGATTTTCCGTCGTCTGTCTGTCTGTCTGTCTGTTCTATCGAGATCTCGTCCCCTGGGTCACCCAGAGACGAGAGGGTTTTGAAAGATTATGAAACGGTTCTTATTTTCGTTAAAAGAAACGATCCGCGCCATCTTCACCCAATATCACTGACCAAAGACAGGAAACCACGTCCGGGATTACGTGTGAGGATGCTCAGCGGTGTGCACAGCAACAAAACATGGACCGATACAGAAAGCGACCGTCCGCTGCATTCTGCACGGAGCGGGTATAGAATCCTCGCTGAGTTCCGCCGTGAAGATTTTGAACTTTGAAACTGGAAACGTTGCGAACATTTTCGTCCACAGCGTAATGGTGGCTCGATATGAGTCTCGTTCTTGACTTAATTTCTATCTTCGGGATACACCCAGTAGACCCATTGGCTTAACATTGCATGACGCACTTTAGGAAAACGGCCGACACGTATCGTTGTTTAACTGCTGCTTTCCCACTATTTACACTCATATTATCGACGTTGTACATTCTGACCCAATAAGCGCAATCTTGCAACGATTAATGCTATAAATACCTACTCTTTTTGTCATTCAAAATTCGGTTACGCGAGACATATTTATCTCGCTCTCCTTGCTTTTTTTTTCATTACAATGACCCGCTTCATTTACTCATCCCGAATATATACACGCAGTGCAGTATTTATATTAATTTACTCTATTTACATCTGAAATAAAACTGCCCGTGTTGGTTATTTTATATTTCTAATTCCCTTTGAGCATCCTTACACAAGATTATAGATCCGTATCTATATTTACATTTTGCATGTTTACTATACCATAACATTTTTTTTTGCATTCAGAAGTCCTATTACATAGAGAACCGAGGCCCAAAAATTATATGATTCGATATTCGCAGGAAGTAACTGTTGGTGTCATTGGAGGCGGAGTAGCAAATCCCACTATATCAAGTCGCCAACTCGAAGCGGAAGATGAACCGCAAATTCAGACCTTACACCGAACGGAAACAACAACTGTTGCCGACTGATTTTGAGCGAAGGATGGAATTTTGTAATTGGTATCTTCAACGCATTCAACGAGATCTGTTCTTTTACACTCTACAGGAACATTTATTGGACAGATGAAACCCATATTAGTATAGTGCTGAAATTTTTCACAGGCACAACGATAATTGCTATAAGAAAAACATAGCACTCAGGGTCAGATACAAATGCCACGCTACAAACGCTCATTCGAAACAGGTTAAATAAAGTCTCCAGTACACTGCGATTTCCATTAAACAGACGCGTACAAAAGAAAATACAAACACTAAACTGAATTCGCCTCAAAATAGTTATTTGTTTCATTAGTACAAAAAATGTTAGTTTTCGGGACGAGGAAGATAGTTGCTGGACGACGCGTTAGCGGAGTCCAGCAACCTTCCGAGTCCCGAAAACGCATTTTTTGTACGAATAAAACATAAAATTTCTTCTCCAACCCCCTTTACTTTAAATTATATTCGAATTTAGATTCAGTCACAGTTTCACTACTATAGTATAAGAACTTCTGCTTTCTTGTCCTCACGTGTCATGCCACTCTAGTTTTTAAGTTAACTTATAACCTTTCGTTCTTACTTCTTACTTCTCACCTCTCGCGACTTTGTAGGGAGCAAATCTTGAGGTAGCATGTTCTGCCGTTTCTACAGGGTGTCCCTAAAAGGTCTGTACAACGCGCTACCAGGGGTTCTTGGTATCAAAATAGGACGATTTAACCCTACTTACCTCTATCCAAAAGTGCTTCGGTAAGGCGCTATCTACCGCCAAAGATTCAAAAAACAAATCGTTATTTTTATTTTATCGGAAAATGGTTTTGCCGATTAAAATGAAAGTCGGGATGTGAATGTCTAATGTAGAAAGGGTCTTTGTGATATCATCGTTTTGATTGTAGTTGCTATGTAGGTGGTACAATACTGACCATCCACATCTGAAGAGGTCTAAAACTTTTTAACTACTATTTTGACGGTTCTGAATTTTTAGACACTGATAGACAGTTTACTTGCAAGCATTTTTTGTCTCTTGATGAATATCGCTATCTGTGATGGTTTACGAAAAAAAAAATAAATTTAGGCATGATGAATGGCATGCACCATACATGCGATTGTTCCTCAAAAAATCAGAAGATGGCTGTTAAACCTTAGAGTGGCGTAACGTTTGTTTGTTGTTTCTTAAACTTTAACAATTGACGTTTTGCTTGAAGACTTAAAACTTTAAAAAATAACGTACCAATGTTGCAAAGGGCATAGTTTAATTTATTACGCCGTATAATGCTTTGTATGCGTGAAAATGGTGGTCACT